AGATCTGTCATTTCCATGTAATGAGCATAACCTATAAATACTAAATAGAAGTGGCAGCGGCAGAACATTCAGAGTTTGTCCCTCCTTTCAACCCTTTGTGTTCTACAGTTCTCTCTTCTCTTTCTCTTCTCTTCTCTACATTTTCCTTCTATTTTCGAACCTGAAATCTATTAGGGTTCAAGGCTGATAGCAGTCTTGAACTTCTACTAATCCTATTTCACCATTCCATTTTGTTCAGTGTCATATCCACCATTAAATTGTGGGTGCTTAAATCATTTCTTGTTGCTTCCACCCAAGGCCTTTTTGGTTTGCCTGTCTATTTTAGCCCCTTCAACTCGTAATAGATCATTGTTTTACAACACCCAGTGAGCTATCAGCCACATGAATCCTATTTCACCATTCCACTCTGTTCAGTGTCATCTCCATCATTGAATTTTGGGAGCTTAAATCATTTCATATTACTTCCTCCCAAGGCCATTTTGGTTTGCTCCCATCTCTTCTAGCCCCTTATATTTGTAATAAACCATTTTTTTTCTAACAGGTGCTGTGGATGGCCTCCTATGCACATAACCAAACAAATTAGATCACCCGGTGAAACAATCAAAACCATCCCAAATCTGGGACCGAGTGAGCTGTCTGGTTTACAGGTTTGACCATTTGGGTGAATGACAGTTTGAAAACACTGATCTGTCTATGATTCCATCCAAAGCTATCAAGGTTTTTGGCTGCAGCATGAAATCCTTGAGCCTTGGTTCCTATTTTTCTTTGCAGTTGACAGGTAATGAGTGTTTCCAGAGGATTCTGAAATTTGACAATCAATCACTACCTGTCAGTCAATGCCTCAATGTATGTAATTGCCTTCTCCTGGTCAATGGTAAGCAGGCGAAGGACTCAAAGACCATAATATCTCATAGAACCTTTATTTTAAGAGTCCTAAGTCCTAACCTATGGGAAACACTCATGGGGCGCGCTCTGTGGGAAGCAGAGATGTGAATTCGGAAAGTTAAAAGCTGAAGTCATAAGGTCAAGGTGGAATGCATACCAATTGAAGGGGGATGTCTGGTCACATACCTTCCTGGTTTGCTTTTTGATCAGTTCTGTCATCCGTGCGAATCCACTTATTTTTGGGATTCTTCAAACTTACACCAACGCAGTTCATAAAAAAGGATTTGCTTGGAAAAGTTAAAGTAGCGTGTTTGAGCTGCAAAAAGGTGCATTGTACGTATTATGGCAAGGGTTTTTATTTATTTATTACCTTTTTGTCTTTTGTATTGGCTTTTTTCTTTGTTTTTTTTAGGTAGTGGGGTATTAGGTTAAGGGATTCATTTTATGATTTTAAGGGTCGTAGTTTTCCAGAAAACGGGGCTTAAAAAAAAGGAAATGACCCATTAAGAACTTTGGTAGTGTTTGAGATTTCAATTCAGTAGAATGCTATATTGGCATCTTGTAACATAAATTAAAGCTGTAAATGGATTGCAAAATCAGAATCTGATCCCATTATTGAAAATTTGCATCCAAATCCAATTTGAAATTTGATCGCATTTGAAGACCTTATATTTGAATTTGAATCCTAAGATCGGATTTAATTCAACTCTGTTTAAATTTTTTTAAATATAAAAAGGCTAGAAGTTCATTACTTATCATCTTTTATATATAATAAATTAATGTAAATATAATATATTGAATTTATTATATATAATATAATATATGAAAAAATATTTTTATAGTTTAAATATAACTATATAATTTTTATATATTAAAATCAATAAACATTATGATATAATTGGAATTGGATTTTAATTATATTGGATGGAGTCAAATCTGGATCTGATCTGATTATTAATCAAATGCAGATTGTAAAAATCAAATCTAATCTAATTATTAATTGAATGCAGATTTGTAAAGTTCAAATCCAATCTAATTACATAAATACATCATCTGAATCCAAAATAATCAGATCGATGTTAGATTAGACCACAGAGTTTCAGTTATCATTAACAGGTTTACACAAAAT